ATTGAGCTTTCTTTCTAAGAAGTGCTCTATATTACTTTTAGACATGTTTACTAAGATTTATCAAAAACTTGATCAGTGTTCTTCTGTTATTCAAATTTCGTCTGACGGTATTAACACTTACAAGTTTGTTTCTTTAGGTTATGAAATAACGGACCGTCATCTCCCACGGGGTCGTTGGGTATTTGTGGATTGTCCCAGGCAGTGATAACAGAAATACATGACTGTCTGATCGGCCAATCAGTATCAGTCATGTATTTCTGTTATCACTGCCTGGGATCAATCCACTAATACACAGTGACCCAAGATATTATTAATTAATACCCTGACCTTTCACATGATAAAATACGTTATTAGCTCGTACGAAATTAAAAAATTACATAAAATGATATTAAATTAAGAATTCAAATAACTTTTTTTCTTTTAAACATATTGATACTAAGAAAAAAAAACGAACCATACTTTGATAAAAGTTTACGAATTTTATTCAATTTATAGAGATTCATTTAAAATTTGAAAAATCGTCGAAAAAATAGTAATGAACCGAAAAGTAACGGCGACAATAGCAATTGTGATAATAACAAAATCGGCAATGAACATGACAACGAAATGATTAAATGAAGACCTGGCCAATTTATTTACTCGATCTTGATCCTCATTTACATCTTTATCTATTTCGCAAGCAATTCAACAAACTAATAACATTTAAGATTCTCTATAATGGTTTAATTATTAACTTTACTAAATATAAAGTTATAATTTTTCTTAGCCATTAAAATAGTTTTTTTAAATCGCAAAAAATATCATTATAAACTTTAAATTATTGTAATAACTACCTGGGTTGTTCTCGTTCTATTTGTATACATAATAAACAAATCAATGTATTTTCCTAAAAAATATCTACCAGTAAATTGTTATGTAAATAAGTCTATACGTTAGGATTTATGTATCACGTATTTTAAGTAAATACATCACTTATTTTATCTGAAATCGGATGCCGAATTATGAAACCTCCTAATATCTTAAATGTAATGATCTTGATGAAATGAAATGCCATTCTTAATCATGTGTATAAAAATTTAATGGTTAATTTGTTATATCAAAGCACGCATGTATGTATGTACAGGTGGACCAGTCTATAAACTCCAAAAATTCAAACTTGGAAAGGATATACTTGAATATGACTACGAAGGTTGTACAGTGCATGCAATTTAAGAATACATTAATGCTTTTCTTGATACGTATTTCATTATTAATCAGTAATGCAATCATTTTCAATAAACTATTAGATGAAAGTTTGCTCCTAAGTGACGTCGAAAAGTAACATACAAAGCACTTGTTATAACTAACTAATTAGGATAACTGCGCGACGTAGTCGCACTAAAACCAGGAACGTAATACAGTACGTACAATTAGATTTAACACTACAATTCGTTAAAAATATTTAAAAGAATAAGCTCCAGTATTACATAAGCCATTTAAGTTGGTAAATATCATTCCTGTTTTTTTTCCATTGTAATCAGAAAACTAAAATTAATTTGAAGAATTGACATTTTTCTATTAACAATAATAAATAAGCATGTACTTGTTATCGCTCGGTAATAATAAGTAAAGCTGAAATTCAATTATACTAATTTATATTACTATATAATTAATTAACACATATAGTTTGCCACTTTATAATTATATGCGATAATTATTCTAACCAAGAAAAACTTGCAGTTAACGAGAAAGTACGTACAGCCATTACACAAAACCAGTCTATAAAAGGCTATTAATAATCTTCAAATCGATGTCATGAAAAAAATCATGATCTGTACAAACGTATAATCCAATCAGCTTTAAGATTTTGCTTTCGGTTTATTTGCCAATAAACCATACACGTTCCTGGTATAAAGGAGCTTTTTAATATCTAGACAAGATAAAAATTAATAAAGTAGAAAGAAGCGCTTTTACTGTTTGTTGAAATACTCAGGTATTTTAGAATAGGTTGGGCATTTTTGATAGGTTGATAATTAACAATAGTGAATTCGGAAACTAATTTTCAACGACCTTTTTTAACTTACTTTATAATCAAATACATTATTTTCTACATACATAATTATAAAAATTCATTTTATAATAGAATTTTCGTGTACCATAGAATTTTTCGATAATCTTTGATCACGATTGGACGATTTTGGCAAAATAGTAAAATAACTAAATTAAGGCCGAAATTGATCACCTGATACTTCAGCCGGGCGATCTGGATTACGGGCATTACAGCATGGCACCAGCCGGAGTCGAACCCGCAACATTTCTGTTGCGTACCACGCGCTCTAAACCGTTATTCCATATCAGAGTGATCGTATGATTTTTAAGATATATTCCTTATAACCCTTAAAAACATATGAATATTCCATTGTGATTGGACGAAATTATTCAATTGTAATTAAATTTTTTTTAAACTATTAACAAAGATATTTTGGTAACCATCTAAAATCGATAAATTATTTATTTTTAATTATACACTCATATAGAATCAGAATAAAAAAAATTTTCATCGATTTTAGATAGGTTGTTGTCGAGATATCTTTGCTCAAAGTTTGGAAAAAACACTGCCGCAACTTTTGATAGTTATTCAAGTTTTTTTCTAAACTTTGAGCGAAAATATCTCAACAACCACCTATCTAAAATCGATGAAATTTTTTTTCTTTTAATTATACGTTCATATAGAATTAGAATAAAAAAAAAGTATCGATTTTAGATAGGTGGTTGTCAAGATAGGGCCCAAAATCAAAATTCTTACGAATTATTACAAATAAGGGCCTGTTCGATCTCCGAGATACTAGATGACTAAGTCACAAGACTTACATAACGTCTTCCAAAAAAAAAATGGTAGCCTATTTCAGCAACTACCTAATCAAATTCGATGAAAATTTTCATCGAATTTGATCATGTGGTTACTGAGATATCTTCGCTAAAAGTTTTTTAAAAATATCAAACTATAAAAAATGGCTGCCTAATTTTTCCTAGAACTTTGAACAAAGATATCTTTGCAACCATCAGATCAAACTCGATGAACTTTTTTATTTGAATTCTATTAATCCATAGAATTCAAATAAAAAAATTTCATCGAATTGATCAGGTGATTGCTGAAATATCTTCACTCAAAGTTTTTTTTCAAAAAAACCAAATCGTCGATAAAAATGTAGTAAATCTATGAGTTCTCGTTTATTTGAACTAAAATTTTACAGAGAAAAATTTTAATATAATTTCTAAAAATCTAGTTATTACGCAGTAATCACTCTAGACCAAACTTTTAAAATCAAGGTTGGTGCCATGAATTTTCATCAAATAGAAGGTGCGCCAAATTTTTTCCTAAAACTACGAAGATATCTCAACAACCATCTGATCTAATTCAATGAAATTTTTTTTACTCGCATTCTATAGATTCATAGAATTCAATAAAATTTCATCAAATTTGATTAGGTCGTTTTTGTGATCTTTGCTCAAAAATTTTTTAAATAGCAGAACGAGAGGCTGCGTCAAAACTTTGAGCGAATCGAAGATATTTCAGCAACCCCCTTATCAAATTCGATGAAATTTTTTTTTATTTGAATTCTATTTATCTATAAAATTCAAATGAAACAATTTCATTGAATTTGATCAGATGGTTGCTGAGACATCTTCGCATAAAGTTTTAGGACAAATTTGACGCAGCTTCTATTTTGATGAAAATTCATGGTACCCACCTTGATTTTGAAAAGTTTGGTCTAAAGTGATTACTGCGCAATAACAAGACTTTTAGAAAATATATTAAAATTTTGTTCTGTAAAAATTTAGCTTAAATAAATAAGAACTCATAGAGTTACTACATTTTTCACTCTTGTATTATAGACGATTTGATTTTTTTAAAAAAATAAAAAACTTTGAGCGAAGGCATTCAAACAACCACCTGACCAAATTCGATGAAATTTTTTTTTTTGTTTGAATTCTATGGATTAAGATAATTCAAATTAAAAAAATCATTGAATTTGATCTAAAAGTTGCTGAGATTTTTCGCTCAAAGTTCTAGGAAAGTTTGGCGCTGCTTATATCTTTGATAAACATTGACATTTTAAAAAAAACCGCGATGATATCTCTGCGACCACCTGATCAAATTTAATTTTTTTTTATTTGAATTCTACAGATTCATGAAATTTAAATAAAAAAAAAATTCATAGAATTTGATCAGATGGTTGCTGAGAAATCGTTACAATCACGTACAATCGACTGCAATCGAACAATCGGCATGCAGCGATCTACCAATTTTTCCGTCACATTTATTGATAACAATCAGTTTTTTTAGTGTTAAGTATTTTGTTTTCTTTACCATCATCATTTTCCGGAATTATCGTTCAGAGGAGTCGTTGTTCTTTGGAGTTGTTTTTGTGTTGGCGTTCTTTGGAGTTGTTTTTGTGTTGGCGTTCTTTAGTAAGTTTAAGCCTCAATAATTGAGTTGTTTTTTTCGTTTAGTATCGCTTATGTATTGAACGTCTATTAGATTTTTTTTTTCTACGTCGCTTCACGGTGAGCTTTTACGGCTTCTTGGCGACGTTTTTGGATAAGGGATGATTTTCTACGCTCTTTCAAGCCAATCTTTATGTGTTTATTAATACCTTGTTTCGCGGTGGCTTTATACGTGTTTCTCCAATACCTCATTTCCAATATGAATACAATTCAATTAATAAAATGCATATTAATTGAATTGTTTCTCCGAAAGAATACTCCTCTAAAAAATTTAGAAATTGATGGGATAATTCATATCCAAAATTTAAATAAAGGAGGAAATTGAACAAGCAAAGCGGGCTGCGGTGACAAAGAAAAATCAAATAAGCTCTCGAAAATTCCTTTATTTCTAAACTAAGCCTATCTTATAACAATCTCGGGGCCAATGAAATTGCCCTCATTTTTAATAATCCCCCTCTTTCCCGATTGGCTTTTGAGCAAATTAAGCTTAAATTCGAAAGGCAAAGGGCATTAGCAACATACTGAGGTCTATCGCTGTTTTTATTTATTTATTTATTTATTTTTGTCGTGTATAGAATTTCGATGGCATAGACCGATAATGGACGATAGATACTAAGGCCTATTACTGTTTTTTATTTTATTTTTTTTTGCCGTGTATAGATCCTCGATGGCGCGCTGCATAGAATTAAAATCACGAATCGCTTATCAGTAAATAATGAACAACCCATTGTTAGTTAAAGTTATGAACCTTGCATAATTTTAAGTAATTTTGTGGTAAGTTCGTAAATTAATTTTTCATGTAATTTGTTTTCGGTAATTTAGAAGTTACGTATATTCAAATTGAATGGTATAATAATACTGGTCAATCTTTTTTAAATCTGGTACATTGTGTATAACGTGATGAAAATTACATGAAATTTAATTTTCTGAAACTTTATCTAGACAACAAAGTGAACGAGCATCTTCAAATAACGGTAATAGGGATCGTCAAAAATCAACTCGTCAGAATCAAGTTTATGCGGACCACTGCCAAGATAACCAAGCTCATCAAGATAAACTTCAAATTCCCAGGTATTTACTACAAGAAATGAATTAATATCACGGCCTTTTATATCACAAAATCTATTTTTAATTATTCCTATGTAAAAAATAAATACTAATAATATTATTTATAATCTTTTATTTTTTTTAGAAAAGACCGATACGTGAAACTTTCTGTTTAACGGATAATATAGATTCTTTTAACGATAGGATCTTCAAGCTTTTAGTTAATAATAAAAAAATTAATTGGTTATTAACAGTTAGTAATAATTAATAGTTTCGTTCATTGTTAATAATTCCTATGTAATCACATTAAAAACTGCATATTAAATGCGGTTAATATAATATCATTGTATGCAAAAAATCATAATGAAATAAAGCTTCAAGAAAGTTCTGAATTTCTGAAACATTAATTTCGGCACTCAAATAATGAAAAATCTACCCCAACACGTAGACGAATTTATAAATTTTTGTATTCGTCAATAAATATTTAAATCAAATACCACTTTTTTTTATATAGTTTTAATCGATTTACTGTGCCGCACATTACTAAGTAGGTTTAGTTAATAACTCGGCCAATTGTTAATAATCAATAATTCATTAGAGAGGCCCCATCACTAGGTTCTCTATTATAAGATAATACGTACCAGGGATGGTAAATGACCTGGTCATTTGATAAAAATTTAAATGGCCCCAAGTCATCAAATAATGACCAGGTCATTTGGGTCATCAAGATCATTTGGTCATTTGCATATAAAGTAAATTTATTGGTTGAATTACTCACATAAAAAGTTATCGAACTTTATTTCTTTTCTAATCGATAATAGCTATATATTAAAATTAAATCACGTGTACTTTGAAAATATCATGTAAATAGAATACTTGTTATTAATTTACTTTCGCATATTACAAAAAATTTAAAATTTTTTTCATATAAATGTAAGGTGCGAAAGTGAATTAATAAAAAGTTGTCCAATTTATATAAAAATTTCTACTGTGATAATTTTGTTTTATTTTATAATGTATAACATATAAATTATAATTTTTTTTTATTTTTAAGTTTAAAATTCAGATGCAATTAAAGAGCATTAAAGTCTATGGATTAACTCAGAAGAAAGTCACAAACGAGTATATGTTGGTATTTAATGAATTTTATGAAAGAAATAAGGGTAATGGAAAATGTGCAAATTGTAATCAATATAACACATCTCCAGCCTGATGTCAGACATGTGACCCTCAAGTGGTGACGAGAAAATCGATAATTGCATTAAAGAAATTCAACTTAAGACCACAGCTTACAAAAAGATAATCGAATGGATTCTTTTTGATAGATTGGAAAACATTCGAAATATTGGGGATGAATCATTAGCAACTTAGATGGTTTACCATCAATTTTTATTAGGAGGCAAAAAATACGTACAGATAAATTTTCGGTGGACCTTAAAATATGTTTGATTCACAGAATGTATCAAATGTTTTAAGTGAGGTAAGTTTATATACTGTAGTTTACCGTTAAATTTGCTATTATATTGGCAATATGTGTAAATTTATTATTAACTTTCATAAATTTTACAAGTTTAAAAGTTATATGCAATTAGCGAGTAGTAGAGTTTATGGATTAACTAAAAATCCTGCCACAAATGATTATATAGTGGTGTATGTTAAATACACTTCTAAAAGATATATTTCAAATGGATGATGTGTAGAGTGTAATCAATATAATACATCTCCTGCTTGGTGTCAAGCATGTGACCCTCAAAAAATAGTTGAAGGATTGACAAGCGGAAACGAGAGAATTGATAATTTTATTAAAGAAATTCAAAATAAAGCCACAGAGTATAATAATATAATTGAATGGATTCCTTATAATAGATTTTATAATGTTCGAAAACTTGGTGATAAATTTCTAGCAAACTGGTTAGATGGCATACGAGTAATTATTAAATGCAGCGCGGGACGTAATTGTAGATAGTGTGTAGACATTAAAGTATTACATGGTTCTCAAAATTCATTAGAATTTTTTTAAGTTAAAGTTTATTTGTAATTATTATGTATAGTTGTTTAGTTAATATAGATTCTATTTAATGATTATAAGGTTGAAAATTATTTGTAATTAAAAAATAAATTCAAAATACATGGACTAACTCAAGATCCAGAAACAAAAAATTATATGTTGGTATATGATGAATTTAATTGTAAAAGGGATAAGGATAATGGAACATGTTTAAAATGCAACAAAAATAATACTTCTCCAGCTTGGTATCAGACATGTGTCCCCTGGAAAATGATTCATGGATGGACAAGTGGAAACGAGGAAGTTGATAGTTACATTAAAAAATTTCAACTTATTTGCCACATCTTATGAGAACGTGATTGAGTGGATTTCTTTTGATAAGTTATACAACATTTGAGCAAGTGGTGATGGATTTTTAGCCTCTTAGTTAAGCATTATCGATTTCATGTAATAAGATGACACGAAAATCATGCATGATTGAACATAAAACATTTCGTAATTCTCAAATTCATTAGATTTTTTAAAGGATGTAAGTTGAATTTTGTTTTACTATTTACCGTATATAATATTGTCTCAAATGTATGCATATTTAAATTCTACAGTATTTATTTATGATGTAAGTTTAAAGATTACATAGAATTAGCGAAATTAAAAAAAATAGCGAACTTAAAATTAACTCTACAATAAATTTATGATGGTATTTATGTCTAAAAGGTATGTAAATTATGGAACATGCGCAAATTGCAAACAATATAAATCTCCAGCGTGGTGCCAGTCTTGTGACCCCTCAAAGACAGCTCAAGTGGTGATGAGGAAATTGACAATTACATTAAAGGGCTTCAACTTAGTGCCACATCATACGACAATATGATCGAGTGGATTCCTTTTGATAGATTAGGTAATGTTCAACAAAATGGCGAAAGATTATTAGCAAAATGGTTCGATGGTGAACGAACAGTTTTACCGGAAGAGAATGAATATATACAAACACGTATAATAATCTTTACAGTGGACCTTAAAAGATTGCCTGGTTTACGGAATTTATTAAATAAGGTGAGTTGTGTTGTATAATTTATTAGTCAAATGGTGACGTGTATTTGTAAATTTAACATTCATTTATATTACAAGTTTAATAATCATGTACAATTAAGAGGTAAAATATATGGATTAACTCGAAACATTAACACAAATGAATATATGTTAGTGTTTGATGAATTTTATTCTAAAAGAGATGAGAATAATGGGAAATGTACAAACTGTAACCGATATAACACATCTCCAGCATGGTGCCAGACTTGTGACTCCAAAACAGCTCAGGAATGGACAAGTGATATTAAGGAAATTGATGATTGTATTAAAGAATTGCCACATTTTACGAGAATGTGATTGAGTAGATTTCTTTTGATAGATTAGATGTATATATGTATTAACACATAAATAGAATTAAGTACAAAATGAAATATAATAGAACAATTTTAAAGGACACAAAAATAACTAAAAAAAAAGAAGTTGGAATGCTCATGAGAAGTTGACAATTTTTACATACCTAGAAAAGAATTTCACAGCTAGTAAACAGAACACTGCTAAACGGTTTGATATAAGTGCAAAACAATTGTGTAAATGAATTAGACAAAAAAATAATTTGAAAAATGCTACACCTTATGTCAGATGTTTAAATATTGGTGCATATTCAAAATACCTGCTTTTAGAAGCAGATCTTAAGTCTTGAATTAAATTCTTATGTTCAAAACAAAAGGCTGTGTCTATATATGTGATTAGAACTAAAGCCAAATAACTCGCAAGACAATTACGTTTCATCTCACTTTATCCAACAATCAACAAATGCAAATAGTGCAACAAATGGTTCGAATGTTTTATATGTCACAATAAATTTATTAATAGGCACTGTATTACTGTTGCACAAAAATTACCTGAAGAGTTAGAATCAAAAAAATGAATTTTTGTTACATATTATTTCATCACATATGTCACAACTATCCTCTTTCACTTATCAAAAATATGGATGAAACACTCTTAACATTTGATGTGTTTAATAATTTTATAGTTAAAAAAACTGGAGTTTACACTATTGGAATCCATACAACTGGTCATTAAAAGTCTAATTTTACAGTTGTTTTTGGTTGTTTAGCTGATAAAACTAAATTGCTTTCTATGATAATTTTTAAGTTAATAAATATACTACAACAAATATTTTCACCAGGCATTATTGTATGAACCAATAAGGAAGGATATATGAATTCAAATGAAATGATTTTTTGGATTGAACAAATTTGGAATCATCATACTCCTTTGTCTATTAATTTCTAGTTTTAAATTCATTCTGTGATCATATTACAGATCCTGTTAAAAACCAGTATAATGAAAAAAAATACTGACATCACAGTTATTCCGAGTGAACTAACAAAAAATTACAACTATTAGATGTGTATTTTAATAGATCTTTCAAAGATAAGGTAAATTAATATATATAGATTTTATCAATTAAAAAACCAAAAGTATAGCTTTTCTTTGATAGCATCTATATATATTATATATATTTACTTTACAATTATTATTTTATAAATTTAATAACTTAAGTATCACAAGTACTACCTTAACTGGATGAGTAAGAAAATCAAGAAACTAACTTCTACAGGTTGTATTTAATGCTTTGCTTATAATGTAGTAGCCAGATGAGTAAAAAACATATAAGATCAAGTTGATTTTGCTTATATCAAATGGTCTTTCAAGTGTTGCAACATCTCTATTACTCAAGACAGATTTTATAAAGATATAATATTTGACTATAATTGGATAAAGAATCTGGAGGTTTGTAAGCATAGTAACTATATACATGCTGATACTAACAGTGCAAGTAATAATAAAAGTGTTTATTGACTTGTATAAATGATAATGATAGTAATGATAATGATATTGATAATAACAACAATAGTGGTAATAATAACGATAACAATAGTAATTAAAATAATAACAATAATGATGATATTAATAGTGATAATGATAATAAAGATGATAGTGAT